AATGGAACACTTCCAAATACTGAAAAATAAAATAAAATAAAGTAAAATAAAATAAAATAAAATGTCGACAAACTCAAAAAGATCTCAGCTCCCCTTATTCTTTTCTTTTTTTCTTTTTTCTTTTTTTATAAAGTGGTTTTCTTCATTTCTGCTGTCATGGAATATCACTGTTATAGCCTGCGTGAGTATACTTGCCCAGTGTGGGTCGCTACCCCACCCTGTGAAGCCAGTGCTTCCTGCCATGCCCTCCTGGGGTGCAAGAGTTTTCTTAGTGATGAGTGTGCATGCGTCTCTCTCTCTCTCTGTCTCTCTCTCTGTCTCTCTCTCTGTCTCTCTCTCTCTCTGTCTCTCTCTCTCTCTCTGTGTGTGTGTGTGTGTGTGTGTGTGAGAGAGAGAGAGAGAGAGAGAGAGAGAGAGAGAGAATATGAATACTTAAAGATAGAATTTATAGTCATAAAGAGTGTGATAGTGGTATACTCTGTCACTTTTTTCTGGAGATTGGTTAACTTTGAAATGTGAAAGGAGATTATTTGGAGCTGTGATACATTATATATACTTTTGTACAGAGAAACAGCTACTGTGGGAAATATTATCTTAGGTTTGTTAATTAATCTGGCAGCTGCCAGGGCAGGGCTGACCCTTGCCCTTCTCTGGCCTCTTGCTGTTGCTCTGCCTTCCAAGCATCCCCTTAACGCCTGCTCTGACTGTTCCTGTTCCCAGAGCTTTCCTTCTCTACCCTTCGTCTTAGAAAACAAGCATGCTTTCAGAAGTTTTCCAAATAGCACAACATAAACAATATATTTAGAAAGAATTTAATAACATGCACAGTAAATCACAGGGTAGAGCACAGGTCTCTCTTCTAGTGACCTTGCTGTGGATGCCAGCACACATCCTTCTGGATGTCTTTTATGTGTACACGTTTCATAAACGTAAATGTATATGCATATAAGATATGCTTGCCTATTTTAACATCCGTGGGATAATTTATACTATTCAGATTGTTCTGAGACTTTCCCGTCTCCATTCATGAATATATGCTGGCTCCTTCCTCTTTGTGTTTCCCATCTAGCCTTCAAGGTCTAAGCCCAGCCCATCCTCTAAACAGACCTCAGTGGCCATGCTGGTGTTCCCTGTATCTGCCTGCTTCTGACATTCATGGTTCTTATCAGCAGATCTTTTGGCTTTCCTGGGAGGTAACGAGCCCTGTAAAAGGCAGTAGTGACCACACTCTTGCCTGCAATCAAGGGCAACTTCTATTGAGCATTTTTGTGCCCCACAACCCATTTCAAGTGCTGTAATATATTAGCAAGCTTGTGAGATAGACATTGTGATTTACTTAGCGAACACGGAGGCCCAGGTGAGGTGGGTGCCCCCATTTGCTGACTAGTAAGGAGGGAACCAAGAGGCCTCTTGCTTTCCCAGAGCTGTCCGTATCTTTATGTATGACTAGTCCCACCCACCACGGAGAATGACATGAGGTTCAGATTTACAGAGAGCTCCTTCCAGTCAGCCACGTGGAAGGTGAACTCTCACTTGATTGTAGCCCTGAGCACACGCCCGTGCTCTCATGGCATTCATCATCACTCAGCACAGAATTGTTTATTTGTCTCTGCTCTACTTGGCTGAGCTCCCGGCACCTGCTATGGGCTATTAGATATTTATTGAACGAGTGACTATTAGTGCCCACTTCTCACCAAGCATCGTCACTCTGGATGCCCAGAGCATGCTCACTGTATTTGACCAAAATTTTGGGTTCCAGCCCAAAATTCTGTATATCAATCTCAAGTTGACCATGTTCCTGTTGTCGTTTTTTAAAAATTGGCTGTCAAGTGTAAGGAGCTATCACAGCAAGTATCACCCACCCCTTATTTCTTTGCTACCTAACTGAAACAATTACCAGTTTGTGTGTGAAGTTACCCCTCAGCTACAGAGGAACCTGAATACTTTAGTGACACTCAGAAAAGATAGCTCAGCAGAGAAGCTAGTGGAAGAAGAAGGGGTAGAAAAGGGATTTTTGCCCATCAGGGGCACCTGACAAGGCTGTCCCTGAAAGCTATGGGTTAGCTGGCATGATGGAAGAGTCTGGGCCCTCAGACTCTGAGGGGCAATGGGTAGAGCTTCTGCTCTCTAGACCTGGATGACTTGACTCGATACAGGATCCATGCTTTACTTTTCTCAGACTTGGTTTTCACATCTATAAATGGGGTTGAATTTGTTACTTAGGGAAGGCCATGCTGTGCTGTAGTAACAAATATTCCCAATATGTCACAAATGGGAAACTTCTCTCTCTCTCTCTCTCTCTCTCTCTCTCTCTCTCTCTCTCTCTC